TAATTTTCACAAACATAATAGTGAAAGAAGGCAGACACAAAAAGATACATACTTCATGACTCCATTTACATAAACTTCAAACTGGGAAAACTAATATCTGCTGTTAAAAGTCACAACAGGAAGGAGGATGGAGCACAAGTGGGGCTTCCTGGGAATGGGTAATGTATTTCTGGACTTTGGTGGTGCTTATGTGGGTGGTTTCACTTTATGAATTTCATTTACCCGTACACTATAACTTGTGTATTTTCTTTTTTTTTTTTTTTTTAAAGATTTTATTTATTTATTTGACAGAGAGAGAGGCAGGGAGAGAGGGAACACAAGCAGGGGGAGAGGGAGAGGGAGAAGCAGGCTTCCCGCCGAGCAGGGAGCCCGATGCAGGACTCGATCCTGGGACTCCAGGATCATGACCTGGGCCGAAGGCAGACGCTTAACAGCTGAGCCACCCAGGCGCCCCTCGTGAATGTTTTTTTAAAATCAAACCATTTTACAGTTGAAGAAACCAAGGTTCAGAGAAATGAAGTATGCTGCTGAGCTCAGCGGAGCTGGGACTTAAATCCAGGTTTCCTGATCAGGTAGCTTCCTTAGCCCTGAAGGATCCTTTAGCTAGGAATCTTTGCATATGGGTCTTAAAGGGGCCATTCTTTTGTTGCAAGTTTAACACAGTGTTCATTAGATAAAAATATAGTTATTAGTTATTAGTTATTAGTAATACTTAGATACATAGAGAGGGAGCAGCAGGCGGAGGGGGAAGCAGGCTCGCCACTGAGCAAGGAGCCTGATGTGGGACTCAATCCCAGGAACCTGGGAACATGACCTGAGCTAAAGGCAGACGCTTCACCAACTCAGTCACCCAGGCATCCCGGAGATATATATATTTTAAAGTCGAAAGAGACCTAAAATTATTATACAAGCTCTAAGGTCATTATATAGAAATATGGAGTGTTTTATTTAAATAAGGTGATTGATAAAATAGAACAGATCAGAAAAATTTGGAACACATCTAAAATTATGTTCTCTCTCTCCCTCTCTATATATGTTTTATGTGTGTGTGTATATACATTAATCTCTCCAAATAGACAATATAAATAAGTGAAAATAATTCTCAAATTAGGGAGGTAGGAATCTAGAGGAATTTTTTTCTTTAAAAAATATCCTTTAGGGGCGCTGGATTGGGTGTGTGTTAAGTGTCTGCCTTAGGCTCAGGTCATGATCTCAGAAACCTGGAATCAAGCCCCACATAGGGCTTCCAACTCAGCGGCGAGTCTGCTTCTCCCTCTTGCTCCGCCTCTCTGCCTGCTTGTGCTCTCTCTCAAATAAATAAAATCTTTAAAAATATCCCTTATTACCAAATTAAAATGGATTTAAACTGTATTTTTTTCACAAGTCTTTTTAATATCATTAAAAGAAGCCTGTTAAGTTTAAGGGATCTCCAACTCAGGAGTTTTACATATTCTCATTCCCCACTTCCCGCTTTTTCTTCTTGCTCTATTCTCCTAATCTCTTAATATCCATACACCACTGTATCTCCTAGTTCTAATTTTGTTTCTTGCACCCTTTACCATTCATTCATTCATATGTAGATCAGTTTTTTTAGCACACATTTAACAATTCAGAACTCAAAATATTTAGGACTGTTGGCACAGATTGTTTGCCTACCAAATAAGTATTCTTTTTTATTAGATGACAGGACTCCAATTTTTATGTGTACACTGGCACCTGGAATTACATTTCCTAGCTACTTTTTTATTTTATTTATTTATTTGAGAGATTGAGAAGGAAAAGGAGCAGGGGGAAGGAGAGGGAGAAGCAGATTCCCCACTAGCAGCGAGCCCAATGTGGGGGCTTGATCCCAGGACTCAGGGATCATGACCTGAGCTGAAGGCAGATGCTTCACGGACTGAGCCACCCACACGCCCCTTTTTCCTAGCTACTCTTGCAGTTAAGTGTGGTCATGTGACTCAATTCTGGCTAATTAAATGTAAGAGGAAATGTGTGCATTCTGAGAAGGCTCCATGAAAGACCCCGAGTTAGCTGAGAGAATCCCTTTTATGCCCTTCCTGCTGACTGGAATGCAGAGTTGATGGCTGGTGCTTCAGCAGCCACGGGAAGAGAAGAAGCTGCATGCAGAAGATGATGACAACGTGAGAGGAACCTGGATTCCCAATGACCCCACAAATAAACCACCAACCATAAATGATCTGCTTTTAGACTTCTTTTACATGAGAGAAATACACCGTGTGAATTTTTCAGATTTTTGTTACTAGCAGCTGATCATAAATTCTGACATATGGGGTCTGCTCTTTGACTTAGTTTTAGATACATATGTATGATAATCTTACTCAGCTATTCCACCTCTTATGTGAGATGCTTCTCAAATATGGAGGTGGAGATATATTTTAAAGTCTAAAGTGGCCTAAAATTATTATACAAGCCAAAAGGTGATTATATAGGAATATGGAGTGTTATTTTCAAATAAGGGTGACAGATCAGAAAAATTTGAAACATATTATCTAAAATTATGTTCTCTAACCTTAAAAAACTAGGGTTTTCTTTTCCTTTTTGTGTTAAATGTGATCCTATCATCTCTGACTGAACTATCTCTGCTTCCTCCCCCAAACACAGATATTTAGGAAACACAATTTGGAGAAAGGGTAGAGAATTAGTCAGCAATGATGCCTATGGTGCCAGAATGAATGTATATGGTCAGGGAAAAAAGGGGAGAGAGAACAGGTGAAAAGTGGCATTGTATTCAGTAATTCATCACCCACTCGGTAAATTATGTCAAAAATGTCAGTCAACCCAGGCTCAAGTGTCCATAGCTTGCGTTACCCTCCAAGGTTGTTACACTTGGAAGTTTGAGCTCTCCCTTGAAACCTGGGGGAAGTTAGGGTCTGTCCATTTATAAGTACACTGGCTAATCAATATAAAAAGGATAGCTCTACCATTAACAGTAATATCAGACTTAATAGAAATGACAGATAATACCCTCAGGGTCACTTGGTCCCTGAAATAAGTCACCTCCCATGTGGGAGCCATGCTAAAGGGGAGTATTCTCTAGTTTATCCAGTTTAACCTCCCAGTGGTATACTCTTTTTGATCCCTGCTACCCATCTTCTAATCCAGGGAAGTAGCTATATTTTCTTTTGACTTGAATCATCCTCTGCTCTGTTTGGGGAAGACCTCACAACTCCTCTCCAGAACCAACCTATTTTATTTTTCTCTACATTAACATAATGGTGCCTGAACAAGGAGCACGTCTTGGGACCATCCCAAGTGGATGTGCAGTGCACGGGGGCACCACTGGACAGGAGGTCCCTCCATCTGCCATTGCAGTGTGGCTTCTATCTGGGTCAGCACTGCAGCCTCTGTCCTCTGGAAGGGTGACCAGTGCCTCCGTGAACACTCACTGTTCTCCAGTGCTCCAGAAAGGGGCTGTCCTTCTCTTCCTGAAGGAGCAAGATCTTACTTTTAGAAGGTAATCCTGATGGTCACCAAGTTAACTGAAAGCACACAAACCTTCGGTGCTCTTAAGTGTAGGTACTCAACAGGGTCATTAGTCTTTAAGCCATGCCATTTTTAGTGGAACATTAGGTACACTGTTATACAACCTCTTGGAGGCTCAGCACCCAGAAAACATCTTTATTCTAAATGGGGTTAGTCAGACATATGTAAAACTTTCCCAACAAAGGAAAAGAGGGCATTCAGGGCATGAGCAGGGAAGACATAGACATGGAAGCCTGAGTGTACTTGGGGTGGCTGGGCAAAATGAGACCAATACAACAGAGCTGCTGGACAGTGAAGGAAAATAACATTGGAAATCCTGGGACAAATTTATGGAGGACACTCCTGAATGTTTACTTTCATTGTGAATAGATGAAACTGGCCATTCTGAAGCTTTGCACTTTTAATTAACTAGCGTTCAGGCCTTGAAACACAACGGGGTTGGCTCATTCGAAAGAGGGAGAATCTACTCTGTGGGTACTCTGATGTCAGAGGAGATTGGGAAAGTGACATATTGAGAGTTCTCACACGGCTCATCTAAATTCTGCCAGGAACAAATGCTGCTCAACATTTTTACGACAATAATTTAAGCAACGTGGTTTTGATTAGTTGTGTTTTTTTGTTTTGTTTTGTTTTAATGTTGAAATGAGACCTGACCTCTGTTTGAAGGAGTTTCCATACTTATTACACACATAGAGTTTTTGTTGTGGATTCTCTGGTGTTCAGTGAGATGTGAGCTCAGACAGAGGGCCTTCCCACACTTGTCACATTCATAGGGTTTCTCCCCAGTGTGAATTCTGTGGTATCTGTTAAGGTCAGAACTTCTACTGAAGGCTTTTCCACATTCATCACATTCGTAGGGTTCTTCTCCTGTATGAATTCACTGATGTTTAGTGAGGTTTGAACTTTCCCTGAAGGCCTTCCCACAGTCAGTGCACTGGTAACATTTTATTAAGCTATGGTATCTCTGATGCTGAGCAAGTCCCGTGCTGTTACTGAAGTTTTGCCACAATCACTGCCCTCATACGGTTCCTCCCCATTGTGATTTCTCTGATGTTTAATAAGAACTGAGCCTTGACTAAAACTTTTACCACACTTATTACACTGACACAGTTTTTCATCCGTGTGAATTATGAGGTGCTTAAAAAGAGCTGTGTTTTGACTAATGGCTCTCCCTCACTCTTGACACTGAAAGAGCTTTTCCCTTGTGTGGATTTTCTGATGTCCAAGAAGACTGATGCTATGCATGAAGCTTTTCCCACACTGATCGCATCTGTGTTGTTGTCCTTCCTCTGAATTTCCTTGATGGCTGCCAACCTGTGCTTGCATTCATGAAGGTCTCCAAAATGGGTCCCCCGGAAAATGTTCCTGCCTCTGCAAATTCTACAGAGTATCATCTTCTGTGATTCCATTCCTTTGAATACTCCCTGCTTTCCAGCCAATTTCCCAGTCTCAGGCTTGGTCTCACTATCTAAAATAGGAACTGGATCATTCAAACATCTTTTATTTAAGCTTTTTATTATGGCAAATTTTAGACATATATAGAAGTAAACAAAACGGAAATGTCATCTGTTCGAACTGACAGAATATTACACCCCAAGGGACCATTTTTCTCTTTTTTAGTCATGTTGCCCCAACAATCGATCAATATCTCTTCAGCTCAATTAAGGAAGGAAAGCGCTAGAGAGGAAAGGTGAAACAGACATATTCTGGAATAAATAACCTATGTCCTAGTCACTAAGGTAGGATCAGGAACAATCTTTATCACGAAAAGGGCACAAATTATTAAAGAGTTTGTTAAAAGTCTAAGTGTATAAAGAGTACTTCAAACTGCATTCAAATACAATTATAGAGGAAAGGCAAAAGTGTATTTATTCTATTGATTGGAAAGAAAATTCTTTGTCTTAATCTTCCCCCAAAGAGGACATTGCTTGCAGATTCAGTGTAAACCAATAATTACCTTATATTAACTAAGATCAGTATTCCTTTATGAACACAATTGAAAAATACAGTTTTAGTGAAATTTGGCCTGAGAGAGATAAATGTCCCACTGAACTCATTAAAATGAAGATTCCACCTGAACTCAAACGAAATACTGGAAAAGGACGGATTTCTTGGCTGTTCTGGTCACTTTATTGCTATTTTCTGGACAGACTGTGAAGGGGATCAGGATGTAAGGAGGGGGGTAGCTTTGTAAATGGGAAGCACATCTGATAATGTAGAGAATGTGGAAAGGAAAAGGTACCAAATGTACACTGGAGTGACATGTAGGGGAAGGGACCAGCGTGAAAAGAGGAGGGAATTTAATGTGGAAGAAGACAGGAGAAATGCAGTCAACGTGAAAGGTTTTAAAGGTGGCTTCATCCCAGATGGGTTGATAAAACTTAGAGGGTAGGGCAAGACACTGAGGCGGCCACTGTAAAGGAGATCATAAAGGAGAAGCAACAGGATGATGTGATCATTCAGTGCTTTAATAAAAAGCAAAGATGGGTATGTGAAAAGCAAATAAAATAAAAACCTTTTTAAAAGGCCAAGAATAAAGGTTGTACTTTGTAAAAAGAGAGGTAGATAAGCCAGCGAGGATTTGGGGTGAGGGTTAGACACATTCATGATTAAGCTGTAAAGGATGGCTTTGATTAGCCAAGCAGGAGCCCGCTACCCTAACCCATCTTCCCAGATCGGTTCCTCCTCTTCCTCTTCACCTCTCTCTTGTAGGGAAGGGGCTCCAGAGAGGCATCCTTGAGCAGAGTCTCCATGTGCTGGCGCTGATAACTTGGTGACTGGGGTGTGGCTCCCAGGGACATCACCTCCTCCCAGAGCACTTCCTGTCCATCTGCTTGGAATGTGCCCTGGAGACAAGGAGGAAGCATTGGGCTTGGGAAGAAGCTGCTGTTGAGAACTAGAACTAAAACCTTAGGAAACATTTCCCAGGGAGAAACAGGACAGGGAAAAAGGACTCAACAGGCTTAGGAGAGATGAGACAGAAAAAGGAACCAACAGAAACAATGAAGCATCGATGGGGACAAAAGCTCACAGCTGCCCTCACTGCTTTCTTATGAACCTAACCAGTAGATGCTGCTTGTTGCCACCACAGAACACCTCTTCCCACCTGAAATCCCGGATCATCAGACTCTCTTCCAACATAGCCTCATCTCCATTCAGTGGATGCTGCTCCCACACCCGGGCCTGCAGGTCCCCCGGCAGGATGGTCAGGAACTGCTCCAGCACCAGCAGCTCCACGATCTGCTCCTTGCTGTGCGTCTCGGGCCGCAGCCAGCGTCGGCAGAGCTCCCCGAGCCGGCTCAGCGCCTCGCGGGGCCCAGATGTCTCCTGATAGCAGAACTGCCTGAAACACTGGCCGAAGACCTCCTGACAGGACTGGCTGTTCTTCGGCAAGTCAATTTCTTGTACAAAAAAGTTATCCTCCTCCACCTTTACTATCACAGGTTCTTGTTCTCCATCCTGGATGATGAGAACTGCAGCCATTTTCTCTCAGGGGAGGGGTGCCTGCAGATGGCTTTATACTCCGAGGAGAGTCCCCTTCACAAAATAGAGACCAGTATTAAGATGAAAAATTGCACCAGTTAAAAAGAAAATCTATTATGTACTGTTAAAGGCTGCCCAGGACACTTTAAGAAAAACACAACAGAAAAGGTTTTTGAAATTTTGCTAACAGTGATGTAGATGACTTGAGGATCTGACATTCTTGGTAATGAAAATTTATAGGACTATTTTAGAAATTAAGAGTAACCTTTTTCCGGGGCGCCTGGGTGGCTCAGTTGGTTAAGCGACTGCCTTCGGCTCAGGTCGTGATCCTGGAGTCCTGGGATGGAGTCCTGCATAGGGCTCCCTGCTCAGTGGGGGGTCTGCTTCTCCCTCTGACCCTCTTCCCTCTCCTGCTCTCTGAATCTCATTCTCTCTCTCTCAAATAAATAAATAAAATCTTTAAAAAAAAAAAAAAAGAGTAACCTTTTTCCCACGAATCCTCGCTGTGGTCACTCTACTCCAGTGAAATCCTCTTCCATTTTAGTCTTGTCAATGCATTCCACCTGCTTGGAATGCTCTTACCCAGGTATTAGCATGGGACATTCCCTCATTTCATTACAGCACGCTCAAAAATCATTTCCTCGAGAAGACATTTCTAGAGCGTCCTACATAAAGTGGCTCTCCAACCACTAGCACCCTCTGACCCTTACGACATTGTTCCACCGCCTGACGTCATATGCTACTTGTTGCCCCCACGATAATATAAGCAGGGCTTCATCTGCTCTGTACCCTGCACTACAGGTGTTGCCAAAACCCTGCCCGATACGCACTAAGTCATCAGTAACTATGCTGAAAAAAGACCAACGAAATGCATCAACTCCAACACTTTCTCAGAACTCGTTCGGGAATTGTTCATACTGGGTGATAAATATGATCAGACAAATACAGCAGCGAAAACATTAACGACAATAGGTCCACAACCCCTTTTCCACAATTGTGAACTCCCCCAATGCTCTGAAAACCGGAAGTATTTCCCTGAAGTCACTTGAAGGCAATACTCAAAGTAACAACTATATTAGTAACAAAACGCGTCCTGAAATGACATGAACCTTACAGTCCTGGTGGGAACAGTCCTGTTTCGTGACAGAACTACGAATACGTCTGTCTGTGGGCTGCCCCAGACTCCTGGGGCGCTAGGCATTCGAAACACCATACAAGCACCGTGCTTTAAAAAAAAATCCCCAAACTCGGGTTCCGAAAACACTTCCGACCCCAGGGACTGGAGAAAAGCTCCGTTTTCTGTACGTCAGGGACCCACCAGATTGCAGGAAAACCGCCGAAGTCCTCCGCTTCGCGACGGCGCTGGAGGCCGGAGCCGCCGAGGCGGGCCGGGGGCGGGGAGGTGTTCACCAGAGACCCGCCTCCGGCCGCCCGCACGGCCCGCGGGGCCTCGCTCCTGCGGCGCCGGGCACAGGAGCGGGCCCCGCGCGCGAGAGCTGGCCCCTCGGCCTCGGCGACCGCGACCACAGCCCGGGCCCACCCTCCCGGAAGCCGGAAACCCGCTCCCGGAAGTGCGCCGTGCCCCTCTAGGAGCTCCCGTCTCTATGGCTCGTGGCCGCCCGCGGGGCCGCTGCGAGGGCCTCGCCCGCGTTCGTCTTCCTCCGTCCACCTGCCGCCCTCCCGACGTCGGCCCCGCCCTTTCCCCCGCGTGTGTGGTTCTCCCAGCGTGCGTGCTTCCGCGTCGGCTCCCTGCTCACGTAAGCACGCGGACGTGCGCGCTTCTGTGCGCGTGCAGCAAGTGTGTGCTTCAGAGCGTGACGCGGGCCTCCTGTCGGTGTTGTGCTGCGGGTTGTCGGGGAGCAGGAATACCCCGCGCCCTCCGAGGTCCTTGTAGGCGGACGGAGAACCAAACTGACATGGTTAGGGTGGCTGGTGACGCGGCTGGCGGAGATTGCAGCAAGAGCAGAGCGACCAGCGGGACAGTTTGCTCACTCTCCGTGGGAGGAGAGGGGCCGGGCAGCTGGCGAAACGTCGGGCTGGGCCTTTGAAGGGCGTGCGGGGGCTGCAGCTGCGCCCGTGGGGGTGGGGGAGGCGCTCGATTCTTGGCCAGGCGGGGCGGCGGGGGGCCCTGCCCGGGGCTCCTCCGGGATGTGGGTTGTGGTCAGGCTAGAGAAGAATAGGTTTTGTAGTTGAGGTCTATTTTCCCAGAATGTAGGGCTCCGTGACCTAGAAAAACAGAGGTAGGGCCAAGTGCGGACACCTGTGAGTTTTGTCCGTAAGGTGGCTGGGGAAGGGGGGGCTTTGAATAGATTTTTTTCAGAGATTAACCAGAGAAAATCAAATTTGATACCATACAAGCGGGAAAGCCAGACAGACATGAAACTCCAGAGACAGTCAAGCAAAATGAGGTATAAATGTCATCCTCAATTAAGGAGAACCTAGTAGGGGTCTGGGACTTCAAAGGGAAGGAATGCAGTCCTCAGGAAGATGAAAAAGAGTAAATGTTTGATAAACAAATGTTTTCATGGCCACTCAGAAACAATGGGACATAGAGGATTTTGATCAAACAGGCCTTGCTAGGTTCCGCCCTGTCCAGCGTCCCTAGTTCATACCATAATGTGGTTATCCATGGTGACAGCTCTCTTCCTGGAGCAGGACCTCTATCTAAATTCTTTTTAGCCAGTTATGAGGGAGGTAAAGAACTTTTCCAGAATCTGCTGGGTTTCAATTGCTTTTTAAAAAAGATTTTATTTACATTAAATTACATTAAATATTTAAATTCAGTTAGTTAACATATACTGTATTATTAATTCCAGGAGTGGAATCTAGTGATTCATCAGTTGCATATAACACCGTCGTGCTCATTAAATCCACTGTCCTCCTTAATGCCGATCACCCAGTTACCCCCTCGCCCTACCCACCTCCCCTCCAGCAACCTTAACTCAAAATAATCTTCATGCCTAGGAGGCCCATCTTGGGGCAGCCCCTACATGATCCAGTTACTTAATGTCTCTGTGCCTCATTTTCATTTTCTTTTTTTTTTTTAAAGATTTTATTTTTATTATTTATTTGAGAGAGAATGAGAGAGAGCACATGAGAGGGGGGAGGGTCGGGAGGGTCAGAGTGAGAAGCAGACTCCCTGCCAAACAGGGAGCCCAATGTGGGACTCGATCCAGGGACTCCAGGATCATGACCTGAGCCGAAGGCAGTCGCTCAACCAACTGAGCCACCCCGGCGCCCCTCATTTTCATTTTCTGTAAAATAAGAATAATAGTACAGACAGTTATAAGTATTGAAATGATTAACGTAAAGAGCCCCTGTGGCCAGGTAGATCCTTCCAAGTCATCTGGAATAATTCTTAAGCATTATTTTTAATGGTCTTAAGGCACTTATTTTAATAGTTAATTTACTATCAGTAGGCATACGAAAATATATTTCTATTTTTTTGTTACGAACAAGTCTGCAATATTTATCCTTTTTTTGCAATATTTATTCTTATGCATGATCTCTTCTGCACGCACAGATGATTTTATTTCTAGGGGATAGGTTCTCACAAGATTGCTGGATGGACGAATATATGTATTTTCGTCCAAGGCGGAGGCTGTTTTTGTGGGACTGAGCCCTTAAATTGTGGAGTCTATGCTAACTCTAGGTAGTTAGTGTCAGAATTGAATTGAATTGTAGGCCACCCAGTTGGGGTCAGAGAATTGACTGGTGTGGAAAAAACCCCAACATACTTGGTGTCAGAAGTGGTGTAGGTAAACACAGCACATGAAGGCTTTCTTGACTTTCGGGTATGATTTTGGTGAAACATATTTAAAGGAGGATATATTTTAGATTATTGGGCTTTTCCATTCAGAATAAAGCATCATTTTCTCATATTCTTTTGGACAAAATGGCCCCTCTGAGAAGTCTCCTCAAAGCTCCTTTAACATCCTTGTTCCTCGGGGTGTAGATGGATGGGTTGGCCATCGGAGTAATAACACAGTAAAACAGCGTCAGAGCTTTGGTAAGGTCTTGAGGGCTATCCCCCGAGGGCTGCATATAGATGTAGATGCCTGAGCCATAAAATAAAGACACCACCAGTAGGTGTGAAGAACAAGTGTTGAAGGCCTTAAGTCTCTTATCAGTGGAGGGGATTCGAAATACGGCTTGGGCAATACAACTGTAAGAGATAAGAATCATGGAGAGGGGACCCATTATCAGAAAGGTGGCCGCCACAGCTAAAGTGACCTCGTTGATCATGGTGTCCACGCAAGCCATCTTAATAAGCCCTGGCAGCTCACAAAAGAAGTGGTCTAGCTCCTGGTTCCCACACAGGGGCAGCTGGACCGTGAGTGTGGACTGCAGCAGGGAATTTGCCAGACCAACGAGCCACGCAGTGCTGGAGAGCTGCAGGCAGTGCTTGGGGTGCATGATTACGGAGCACCTCAGAGGCTTACACACAGCCACGTAGTGGTCTAAGGCCATGATGCCAAGCAGGACACATTCAGTACAGCCTAGCCAGTGGAATATATAGGCCTGGGCCATACAGCCTAGGTAAGTGATGTTCTTGTTGGGGCCCCCCAGGTTGAATAGCATTTGGGGTACAGTTGTGGTGAAACAGAGGTCCAAAAAGAAGAGGATTGTGAGGAAGAAATACACAGGACTTTGGAGTTGGGAATCTAGTTGGGAAACCAGAGTAATAGCAATATTTCCCAACAGTGTGAACGTGTAGGAGATCAGGAGGGCAAAGAAGAGAGGAAGATCCAACCAAGGGTATTTGGTAAAGCCCGTAAGAATGAAATCCTCTGGAAAACTTTCATTCATGTGCTTCATTGAATTTTGATGGGAGACACTTGCTAAAATCAAAGAAGATAAGAGTGATTTAAAAAACCGCAAGTTAGGGACGCCTGGGTGGCTCAGTCGTTAAGCGTCTGCCTTCGGCTCAGGTCATGATCTCAGGGTCCTGGGATCGAGTCCCACATTGGGCTCCTTGCTCAGTGAGGAGCCTGCTTCTCCCTCTCCCTCTGCTGCTCCCCCTGCTTGTGCTCTCTCTCTCTCTCTGACAAATAAATAAAAATCTAAAAAAAAAAAAGGAAAAAAAACCCCGCAAGTTAGCAGAAGTTTTGACGACATGAGGAAGAAAATATATACTTTCTTGGGAGAGAGATGGGTTACACCCTCAATAGAAATCATAAGGTTAATGAATATAATAATTACAATTAACATTATAAAGTAACATTTGAAAGGTCCTTTCAGGGCACCTGGGTGGCTCGGTTAAGCGTCTGCCTTCAGCTCAGGTCATGGTCCTGTAGTCCTGGGATTGAGCCCCACATCGGGCTCCCTGCTCAGTGGGGAGTCTGCTTCTCCCTCTCCCTCTGCCGCTCCCCTTGCTTGTGCTCTCTCTGTATGTCAAATAAATAAAATCTTAAAAAAAAAAAGTTCTTTCAGTAGACAAGTTTCAAATATATATATTTTTTCCCTAAATCAAAGCACTGTGTGATAGGTTAGTGGACATTATTGGTTATGGCGCTTTTGTATGATTAAAGAAGCCATCGGGAGGTGGGCAGTGTATTCTCCCAGCAACTTTGCAGCTAGGGGTGCATGTGATCTAGATTTGGTCAATCAGATGTTTCTACAAAGGATTTAAATCTTAGTAAAATGAGGCAAAAGAATGAGGAGGGGGGAAGGGACTGTTGGAGCAGATGCCTTCCTGATTATTGTCCCAGGTGACAGCACTAAAGGATATGTCCTTCATGGTCTCTTTCTGGAGTGGGATCTTGGCTATATCTTGCTTCCCTTCATGTCTGCTTGTTTGTCAAGTTTGGTTCTTCACCTTTCACTTTGATTCTGTGAACTACCACTCTTCCAATATCTTCTTTCTGCTTAAATTCTCAGAATTATTTTTTTTTGAAGATTTTATTTATTTATTTGAGAGAGAGAGTGAGGGAGAGAGAGCATAAGCGGGGTGAGGGGCAGAGGGAGAGGGAGACTCCCCACTGAGCAGGGAGCCTGATGTGGGACTCAATCCCAGGACCCCGGGATCCCGGGATCATGACCTGAGCCAAAAGCAGACGCTTAACAGACTGAGCCACCCAGGCACCCCCAGAATTATTTTCTTTGTTTACAACCAAGGACCCTTACTAATACAGAAAATAGTACCAGAAAGTGGGTTGAAATTTTCTGAAGATCTCTTGTTAGTCAGGGCACTGATGAGGAAAGAGTGGGACTCCAAGAATTGGAATGTGGATATATGTGGCATCAGGGTATTCATGGTTCCCCACCACCCACCCTCCCATTCTAGCCAAGGCACATTTCTTTTGTCTAATAAAGCTGCCTTGCTTGACAATGCTGTCAAGAAGCCTGCTTCTCCCTCTCCCACTCCCCCTGCTTGTGTTCCCTCTCTCACTCTCTCTCTGTCAAATAAATAAAATCTTTAAAAAAAAAAACTTTATAAACTATGCATGGAAGCAAGATATCTCATAAGAGGAAATGTATATAACAGAAAATTAACATTCCCACAATTCTCAAGACATAGCATATGGCCTTAAATTTAAAATCAGAGTATTTTGGCTGATTCATGTACAGTCATTTATCCATTCACTCATTAAATTAACATAACTTTTATGCCTACTAAGCACAGGGCACATTATTAGGCACTGCAGGGCAGGAAAACTAACCAGATCTATCCTCCATTCCAAGAAGATTATACACCAGTATCTCTTTACATACGCATAAATAACTAAGAATAACTAAAAATGTGCTAAGTGCTATCCTAGATGTGCTATCCTAGGTAAAGGGTGAGGAGAATTTGGAGGTGGCAGGAATCAAGATGGTGGTGGTATCATGAAGGTGAGTGCTATTGAACGAAATCGCAAATATGAGGTATGGATTTCAGGTTAAACATGACACATATAACAAAGGCATTTGTCTACCACAATGGCATTAAAAGAATTTTGAAAAGGTATAAACTCACAAAGGAGAAGAGGTTGGGAAAGGAGATGACAACAGAGAAGCAATGTCAACAGTATTTTGGAAGCTGGAAAGCAGGTGTTTGGGCGGTGGTTGTCTTAGAAGATCTGAGAAAGCAGAGGCCTTGAGAGGCTTTCATAGTTTTGAGAAAGAAAAAGGAATTTATCAGATTGGTAAACTTAATTTTTTAATTTAAAAAATTGAAGTATAACTTACAATATTATATTTAAAATTTTTTAAATATATTTTTTTAAAGATTATTTAAGAGAGAGAGCAGGAGGAGGGGCAGAGGGAGAAGGAGACAAGCAGACTCACTGCTGAGTGAGGAGCCCCATGCAGGACTGCATCCCAGGACCCTGAGATCATAACCTGAGCTGAAGTCAAGAGTCAGCTGCTTAACTGACTGAGCCACCCAGGCACCCCTATTTTATTTTTCTAAATTGAAATGCAATTAATATATGGTGTTAGGGGCAGCTTTGTCTCTAAAAAATAAATAAATCTTTTTTAAAAAACATACAGTGTTAAATTAAGATTGGTAAACTTGCAAATGGACCTGAGTATGCTTGACTCAACCACTTTCTCTCTGGTTGAATCTAACCTGTCTTCAGGATTCATCCTGCTCTGCTTTGCCATATGCCTGACCTATAGGCACAGATTCATCATGTGGTTGTGTATGTGTGTGGGGGGGGGGGCGGGGCAGAGGAGGGGGAGTTGTCCATTTGTGCCAGTAACTGATGGGGTAAGTGCTTTCAGGGGTGGAGAAAAAGCAAGATGATTTGATTGCATGACATAAACCATGATCTTCAAACAGTTCTAACAACAATAATGCAAACACATTTCGATCATCTCTCTGGCATCTATGTCCATTTTTCATTTTGTTTTGAATTCAAGAAGAGAAGACAGAAGTATTATTAATAAACTCCTCTAAAACCTGACAGGAGAGAGTTGAGATAAATTGGAAACATTCCCCCATACATTTCCTGCCTGGTGAATGTACCAGAACTTCTTCCACTGTATCAAAAGCGGGGATTAGAAAATAAGTGTTCTTCCTCCCTCATCAACATTCAAATGTGAATGGTAGAGTTCTACCTAGAAAGAATATAGAAAATACAGAGGAAGAAATCAGCAGTGAATTTATCTTTAAAAATTCCCAAACTAAAAGACATGAGTGTCCAGGTATCCAAGCATAGTGAAAGAAAAAAGGCCCACATCTGGTGGCATTATTCATGAAATTAAGGCAAGTCAGGGTGGGATGATCCCAAAGACTTACAGAAGGGGGAAATACACATATGAAGTACAATAAATACAAAATGGCCCTGAACTTACTAACAGCAGCTGTGGAAGTGAGAAGGTAAGGAGTAATGGAAGGGGATCTTAATATCCCTAAGTGATGACGAAGGGCATTTGGGAGGTATGTATACATTTTTTGATGGATGGAGGCACACATTATCAATTATTGCAGCATAGGGTACATAAAGTGGTGTAGTAAAACCAGGTTGTAAAAATAACCTGGGTAATATGGACAGTCTTGAATACTAGGTTAAGGAGTCTGATCAAATGAAAATATTTTCGGAAGGGCTGTGAAATGGTGGGCGCAGCACTCAGAGCATTTACTACGGCCACTGGATGAGGGATCACAGAGGAGGAGACTGGAAGCTGGGGGGTTGGCTGGAAATCTGCAGGAGTCCAGGGAAAGAGGCTGAGATTGCCAGCTGGGTAATCAAGAGCCAGCTGTGCATGAGGTTCTGAGAGAATGTAAACCCAGTGAACAGAAAGGAGCATGTATGTGAGAATTGGTAGGAATACATGATTCAACCAAAAAAGGCCTCCTGAAAAAGATGGCCTGAGGGTCCATTCACCAGAGGATGGATTCCTGCTTCCCTAAGACACCTCTAGGTCGACTTGACCAACTTCCCCTTCATGAAAAGTCATGCAACTACCTGAATCCATTGCTAGGATGGTTTGTTGCTGCTGTTTAACCGCCAAGGACAGGGACAGAGGCAGATACTGAGGCAGAGGTGTGGCAAAGGAACACGTCTCCAAAAACAGAGAACATACTCAACTACATTTGCCAGCAAGTTCCTGCATCTGCATGTAAGATGGAAAAGAGTAAAACAAGATCCCACAGCACCCCGCCCAAAAAAATCCTCAATACTTGGGCTTATTGGTCATTGTTCATAATTTTTGATCTTCAAATTTATCCTCAGAGCATTGCCCTTTAGAGAATTGATCTTTAGTGATTTGACCTGCTCTCTTTCCTCTGTCTCCTAGATAACAGGAATTCTTGGACATAATTCTGAGATTGAAGTCAACAAATGATAGCCATTGGTCTGGCTTAATGAGAAATCATTTAGCTCATGGAGTCATCTCACCCTGCCTGATCTCATTCAAAATTCGGAACCTTCATTTTCTGTCTCAAGACAAAATAAAACTGAACAAAACCCAGTGCCATCTAGGCTGGTGTGCATAGAAAGAGACATCACCAGAACATACCTCTTCTCACTTGAACTTGTATTAACAGGTGTCTTTCGCTATAGAAATGTAGTCAAGAGAAAGGTGGCAAAAGGGTTGGATTCCAAAAGTCCTGAGAGAGGGAAGCAGGTACAATTTGGCTAGGGCTTCCGTAAGAGCCACTAAAGGTCTTGATATGGCAGGTAGGGTGAATGTACTTCTGGAGAAATAGGTTCCAAGTCTGATTCAAAGGCAGATAAAACCAGTTCTCACCCATTATGCCAGTGGTCCCGGCGGGGCTGTCATTGGCAAATGAATCTCCCTGGAGAAACAGGATCCATCTTTTATTTACAGTTCTGGTTATGATTATAGATTACATCAGTTCTTCCACTCACTGATCCCATCTTAATAGCAAGGGAGAGTAGGATTAACCCCAACAATTTTCAGTAAACAAACAAATGCTGCATTAATGATGATGATGATGACATTAGCTTAATATATGTAGATACATTTACATGAATGGTCTCATATAGCATTCCTAACAATTCCTTGAGGTGGATACTATTATTGTCCTCATTTTATAGTTGAGGAGCTTGAAGCTTAAAGAGGTGTCATTTGTCCACCGTATGCAAGGCTCACACATTTTCAGAATTCAAAGACAAAGTGAATGCTTTGCAAATGTTATGAGTGAACATGGGTCTTCTTACATCTGTAGTGTTTGGGGTATGTGTTTATTGGCCTGTTCAACCATATTGAAGTCTCCTTAGAGGCAAGGTTCATGTCCTCTTTATCTACTGGCTTCAGCACAGTGTTAGTTAAATCAAGTCCTCCTTTTATTTCTTACAAAGGCAGGTACAATTTCCAGCCATCTCTGTCATATGAATAATGTCACAGAGCAGGTCACATCTCAGGACAAAATAGAACAGAAGAAGTAATTTAAAAAGTGTTTTAAAAGTAGAATGCCTGGGTGGCTCAGCTGGTTCGGCATCTGCCTTTGTCTTGGGTCATGATCCCTGGGATCAAGTCCCGCATCAGGTTCCTTGCTAGGCAGGAGCTTGCTTCTCCCTCTGCCTCCAGCTCCCCCTGCTTGTGTGCATTCTCTCTCTCTCTCTCTGGCAAAGAAATAAAATCTTAAAAAAAAAAAAAGTGCTTTAAAGGCCAAATCCTTGCTAACTCTGTGACAATACTTTTATCTCCACAGTTCCATCACATCCACAAAGCTCCCTCTTCAGGTGGCACTTCAGCTAATTAGATGCTGTCCTGATGAAGCTGTCACTCAGAGCTAAGTCATACAATTCTTCCTCTCCTACTTGTTATGGATTGAACTGTGTTCCCCCCTTCCAAAGCATATGTTGAAGCCCTTTACCGCTAACGTGACTATATTTTGGGATAGGATCTTTAAGGAATTAATCAAGATTAAATGAGGTCATAAGGGCGGGCGGTGCCCTTACTTAATAAGACTGGTGTCCTTATAAGAAGGGAAAGACATACCAGAGCTGTCTCACTGTCTCTCTCTCCCCTTGAAAGGCCATGTGAGGATACAGCAAGAAGGTGGAGGTCTACAAGACAGAGGAAAGGCCTCACCAGGAAACCAGCTCTGATGGCACCTTCATCTTGGACTTCTGGCATCCAGAACTATAGAAGATAAACTTCTGTTGTTTAAGCGACCCGGTCTGTGATATTTTGTTATGGCGGCCCTTGCTGACCAATACACTATGTTTATATTGAAAGAATCAGGATGAAGAGAGGATGTCCAAGGCAAAAGCAGATAGAACCTAGGAGATAGAGAAGATCAATTCACTTTGGATTAGAATAATTCTAATTTGATGATAGGAGGGTAAGTAGATGTTCCTGAATCAGTACAAAGTGCTAAGGGCATTTGTTGACCTCACTTTTTGTTCAGCTATGTCTGTAATGTGGGGTTTTGCAAATGTAATTCACTTGCTTCAAAATCACTTGGAGTACTTGCTAAAAGTGTGTGTTTCCGGGTCCTTTACCAAACCAGAATTAAAACTTCTGGGGATGAGTCCCAAGACACTGTATTTTAACAAGCTCCCTGGGTGATTTAAATGCACACCCAGCTTGGGAATCACTGCATTATAGGATCATTCTGTGTTTCTAATTGCAGGACTAAAATTCGGTTTCCAGTGGGGTTAATTTATTTATTTCCTTGGGGGCTAAAACCCTTCCTTGAAGACTGAAGACATAGAAGAAAATATACATTACTATTTTATAATTTAGTAGTATTTGGAAAATCCTATGTAAAACATAGCATGCTAGGTTCTCTCGAATCACTAATGAATTACATGGGAATTCAGAAAAAGGCTTAAGAGTAGGGAACATTTTTGTTGTTCTTCCCCCATCCGTCCCCAAAAAAGAGAGGACGGGGAGGAGCTTCAGCAAAGATATCACAAAGGAAGTTACTGATTTCTGGCTTTCTCAGCTCTCAGAGCCACAGAAGTCCATTTTCATTCAGTTTCACTCTGATCATAAAGAAACACATCCCTTCTCCTCGAACGTGAGAATTTTGCAGTCACAACGGCTTAGGCGTGGTTGGCTCAGAATTCAGAGCAACCCCGAACACAGTGGAGAATAAAGAGCAGAGGCGGTTAATGGAGAAAGCAGCTTTCCCAGAAGGGGAAAAGCCAAGGCCCCGCTGGGAGTCGAACCCAGGATCTCCTGTTTACAAGACAGGCGCTTTAACCAGCTAAGCCACGGAGCCCGCGGCAGGCCCGCGCCAACGCTGGATCTGTCCTCGCCAGCGGGTTAATATTCTCGCCAGCGCGCGCGCGATGCAGGCGGCGTCTCGCGAGAAAGTGCGCGGACTCCGAGACGACGTTTTGCTGCCTTGGACGCCGCGGCGCCGACGAAGGCGGGAGCCGTTGGCGCAGCGTGCGTGTCTTCGCTCGGCCCGGGACGAGCCCTCCGCGACGGTCGGGGCACCACCTGCCTCCCCGGCCAGGAGGACGTCTCCGCAGAGCTCGCCTCGCTGGGACGTAGACGCCACCTTCGATCGCGCCAGGTCCGGAGCTTGCGAGACTGGGACGCGGGATCGGGCGGCCGGCGCTCGGCTCTCGGACGGGGGTCGGGCCGGGAAGACGGTGCGGGGATGCGGACCGCCCTGAGTCAGTCACTGGCCGTCTCAGACCCGTCACACAAGCGCAGATGCGGGGGGGGGGAGAGGGGGCCCGGCCCGGGGTGTTTCGTGGGTCCAGGTACGACCCTCCTAGGGGGCGGCGCCTTATGGTTCCTGCGGACCACGGCTTTGCCCTCTCCCGCATCAACAAGGACTCACACCCGGGGCAGTGCGTCATCAGCTCGCGGATCTCCCCTCGAACACCATCCTCCGAGGTCGCACCCCCGCGGGGACCTGCCCCCCCTCCCCGAGGTCGCACGCGGGGCGCGGAGAGCTGGGCTGGCGGGTGGCCCCTGGCGGCGCTGTGCGCGGGTGGCAGGGGCCTGGGACTCCGGGGGTCTGCGGCGGGGCTGGACCGCCGAAGATGAGGGGCGGGGGGCTGTGGCTGGGGGGCTCGGCTGGGCGAGGGAGGAGAACCCAGGACCCACCCAGACCGCCCTGTGGGCTCGGGGCCGCCGGGACCTCTGCTCTCCCGCCGGGAGGGCCTGAAGACCCTCACTAATTCAAACGGATCCCCGCCCTAAACTTTGGGTCTTTGTTTCTGTCTCTGTCTCTCTCACACACACGTCCCGCACGCACAACCGGGACTTCAGCTCCACTCCAGCTCAGGTGGGGAGGATGCAGGGATGGGGAGGGAGCCCCTCGGACTTCCACCTGCAGAGTTCGAAAACACCTCCCTGCTGTCTCCCACGCCCCCAGACGCAGCCCACCGCATACCTGAGACTCAACTCAGCGGGGTCTATAGATTCAGTGCAATCCCAATCAGAATTGCAGCAAGTTATTTCATGAATATTGACACACTGATTCTAAAGTTTATATGTAGACACAAATGACTCAGAACGAGCAACGCAAAATTGAAGAACAAAGTTGGAGGACTGTCACTACTTGACCTCAGATTTACCATAAAGTGACAGTAAAAAAGAGTGTGGTGTTGGTGACAAAAATAGACCAACCGATCAATGGAGCAGAAGAGAGAGCCCAGAAATAGACCCGCATAGTCACCTGATCACCGAGGAAAGGCAGGACATGGGGCGAAGATAGTCTCTCCACAAATGGTGCTGGAAAAACTGGATGTCCACATGCAGAAAAAAAAAATGAATCTAGTACAGAACTAGGCACAGACCTTATGCCTTTTACAAAACTTAACTCAAAATGGATCCTAGACCTAAATCTAAAATGTAAGACCGTGAAATTCCTAGAAAGTAACACAGAGGAAAACAGGTGACTTTGGGTTTAGTGATAACTTCTTAGGTACAACACCAAAAACATGATTCATGAGAGGAAAACGTGGTAAGTTGGACTTCATGAGAATTTAGAATTTCTGTTCTGCAAGACACTGAGAAGAAAATGAGAAGACACGCCACAGACTGGGAGAAAAGATTTGCAAAAGACATATCTGAGAAAGGACTGTCACCCAACATATGCAAAGAACTCTTAAAACACAACAATAAGAAAAGAAACAACTGAATTTCTACTATTTTTCCCATGTACTCTTTAATCCCTACGCCCTCTTTACCCCACTCACCCACCTCCCCTCTGGCAACCATCAGTTTGTTCTCTATAGTTAATAGTCTGTTTCTTGCTCTCTCTCTTGTTTTCTCTTGGTTTTTTTTTTCCCCCTTTGCTCATTTGTTTTGATTCTTAAATTCCACATATGAGGGAGATCATATGGTATTTGTCTTTCTCTGACTGACTTATTTTGCTTAGCATAATACTCTCTAGCTCCATCCATGTCGTTGCAAATGGCAAGGTTTCATTTTTTCAAGGCTGAGTAATATTCCATCGTATGTACAAGCCACATCTTCCCTATCCATTCATCTATCAGTAGACACTTGGCTGCTTCCATAATTTGGCTATTGTTGATAATACTGCAATAAACATAGGGGTGCATGTATCCTTTTGAATTAGTGCTTTGATATTTTTTTAGGTAAATACCCAGTAGTGTGATTCTTGGATCAGAGGGTAGTTTTATTTTTAGATTTTCGAGGAACCTCCATACTGTTTTCCACAGTGGCTGCATCGATTCCCATTCCCACCAACAGTGCAAGAGGTGTTCCTTTTTCTGCACATCCTCGCAAACACTTATTCTTTCTTGAGCTGTTGAGCTGTTGAGCTGATTCTGACAGGTGTGAGGTGACATCACATGGTAGTTTTGATTTGCATTTCCCTGATGATCAGTGATGTTGAGCATCCTTTCATGTGTCTGTCAGCCACCTGTAAGTCTTCTTGGGAGAAATGTCTGTTCGTGTCTTCTGCCCATTTTTTAACTGGGTTATTTGTTTGTGGGTGTTGAGTTTTGTCAGTTCTTTATATATCTTGGATACTAACCCTTTATCAGATATGTCATTTGCAAATATCTTCCCCCATTCACTTGGTTGACTTTTAGTTTTCTTGATTGTTTCCCTTGCTGTGCAGAAGCTTTTTTTTTTTTTTAAATTTTGATGTAGTCCCAAACAACTCCATTTTTTAAATGTGCAAAGATCTGAACAGACAACTCAACAAAGAAGATATAGAGATGACAAATAAGCATATGGAAAGATGCTCAACACCATATGTCATCAGGGGATTGCAGACTAAAAGAGCAGTAAGATACCACTAGATAGCTCTGAGTATGGCCCAAATCCAGTACCCTGACAACACCAGTTGTTGGTGAGGATGTGGAGTCATAGGAACTCGAATTCATAGCTGGTGGGAATGCAAAATGGTGCAGCCACTGTGGAAGACAGCCTGGCAGTTTCTTGCAAAACTAAACATAGTCTTGCCATATGACCCAGCGGTAACGCCTCTCCGCACTTACCCAAGTGAACTAAAAACTTACAACCACACGAAAGTCTGTACACAAATCTTTATAGTAGCTTTATGTATAATTGCCAAAACTTGGAAGGAACCGAGTTGTCCTTCATTAGGTGAATGGATAAACAAACTGTGGTACATCCATACAGTGCCATATTATTCAGTGATAGAAAGAAATGAGCTACCAAACCAAAAAAGACATGGAAGAATCACAAGTACATATTATGAAGTAAAAGAAGCCAATCTGAAAAGCCAATCATCCTGTATGATTCCAACATTATGACATTATGAAAATGCAAAACTATGGAGACAGTTAAGAGGTCAGTGTTGCAAGGGGTTCTGGAGGAGGGACGGAAGGATGAATATGGGGAACACAGGAGGTGTTTAGGGCCTCTAACAGGAAAATACTATTTTGTATGATACTGTATCAGTAGATACATGTCATTACATATTTGTCAAAACCCATAGAAAGTTCAATGCAAAAGTTGAATCTTACTAGAAACTGTGGATTTTAGTTAATAATAATGTATCAGTATTGGCTCACCAATTATAAGAACAAAGGCACCAGCCTAACGCAAGATAATAATAGAGGAAATTGGTGGGGGACACAAACTTTTGTGTAATATGGAAACTGTACTTTTTGCTCAATTTTTTCTATAAACCTAAAACTGCTCAAAAAAAAAAAAACCGTAAGGTTTTAAAAATGTCTAAAAAGATAATGAACTGTTTAAAGCAAAT